CTTCAAGATCCAATGTGAAGCCAAAACACTAACAAGAAAAATGACATGAAAAATCAAGGTCTAAGGAAAATTCCTCATCACTCGAAATAACAATGCCACTTGCACTAACACAAATGCCAGCGATATCAATGCCTCAACTACACATCTTCTCCATCCAAAAATTTACTCCAAGTGCTAATGGATCAACCAACAAACCATAACAAGTGAATGCTACAACTCTTTTCCAATACCTTATAGGCAAACCCTCAAGGAACAAAGTACCAACTTATGCTTAGCATAATGAACCACCATCGAGAATTCAGTCAAAGCTACTACAATGCTACTTTATGTAAGTAGACCAGTTTCAATATCAACCACTTTGGGGTTGATTATTGTTTACCCAAGCAACTTTGTAAACACATTTCTCATTATCACATGGATATGATATAAGTATCACAATGACTTGGTCATCAATTGAGTAACACTATGAGTAGCACCTATGTCACTACTACAAAAATTTATGTGAATATCAAATGCCAACTCTATTCAACAAAATACACCATAAATGCCACACTCCACCAATAAAGATTTACAACACTTAACACCACTAACTTTTGTTCACAACATGGACAAGCTTATACTACTCTCTTTCCGACCAAACTCAAAACTAATCCAACACCAAGCTATTCAAGGAGCAATAGCAAGATTCCTCGGAAAAGAATTGAGCATTGCAACCTAAGTCTTCAATAGCAAGCCTAGACAAAATGGTATAACACTTCACCACTATCCATCCCATGACTCACCACTTGCAAGATTATAATTTTTAACATGCATTAAGGTAGGGAATCTTGATTGCATATTGTGAACAACACCTCGTTTTAAATCATCTCTCCAAAAAGACAAAATGATTTACGTGTTTGATCCTTTGTCCCTGACAACTCTCTTTTCGGTCTCATTTTTTACTAAACCTCCAACTTGCATTCACACTGCCTTCAGTCTAATCCAAGAAAAGTTCATAAGAGAGCACGGCAATGACTATTTGAATCAATAGATTAATCCCTACAGTCTTGATTGATCCACTTGTAATCATACCTAGGAAGGATCCACTAGTGCCGTGCTAAATAGCTATGGACCAACTTATTTGCCACTCATAACAAACCCAGGGAAGGTTTCTTTCACTCACGGTACATGGAACAATTCATGAAACCATCGATAGGCTAATATTAATCCTGCCAATTCAAAGTGTAACCTCAAGTTGCTAATGTGCCTCACTTATGAGCCCAAGCGCAAACTCATTCAAATAGAACACCTTACATCCAACTTATGAGCCCAAGCACAAGCTCATTACTTTAGTACGAAAAGGTAACCAAAATCCATATCTAAGGAACGATTGTGAAGTCTTTGCACCCAAATGTGTACCCACTCGGATCATCGTTTTCATTTCTGTGTATGCAATGAGACTAGTTGCCCAAGTACTCGCTAAGACATATCCTCTGATACCAAATGTAGCGCACGTGGTTTTTACCTTTTATCCTATAGTGATTTACTATAGGATAACACCACGAAGCAGAACATAAACCTTCTTTATGCCACGTGACACATGCCACGTGTCTGGTGCAGAACCCGAGGTTCAGGGCCTTGGGCCACTGAACGAAAGAACGATGCCAAACTCCTAAGCATAGAGCCAAGGAGTGATGGAACCGAACCACAGAGTAACTCCCGAGCATACAGCCCAAGGAGCGAAGGGACAGGAGCTCGGAGCGACTTGGAACAATCCTAGAGCAACTAGCATCCCAATGCTAGAACCAACACACAAAATGGAGCCAAACAAAATTTGGCACTATTTCAGCATACCGGTGGCTTAATGCGAGGATATAGGTACCCCACCAACTAGCAATTTAGGTTTAGACCCAAGCCCGACGCAAAATAATGACAAGCACGCAAGCGAGAGTTAGACTATGCCTTAGGTTGGTCGGCCATGCCCGACTTACCCACTATCCCTACTATACATTTGGAACCCCCCCTGAGGAACACATGCTTTGGGCTTTCACCCCAAACCTTCCTTAATATCAGGAGTTAATCTCTGGGACAAGCTTGAAACTTACTAAATATGGAATGTTCCTAGATTGTGAATTTGGACACGGGACAAACACCATTGTGTTCAAAACAATCTCTACATTCCGTAGATATGCCAAATGAATAAATCTAAACACTTTCCATAAATAGCATTTGGGACTAAAGTGAAACTAACACAAAGGGAATGATAACGAGGGTGTTTGGTAGACACAATAAACTATCATTCAAATAATATTGAGAGACCAATCTCAATATCGCAGGGGTTCTTAATACTAACAAGTGCAAGCCAATGACTCAAGTTTCTCAAACCAGGCTGAGTACACAATTAGTGCTCCAGTCAAAGGAGAAGGAGGTTGTTACTCTACCACGTAAATGAATGAAAAGAAATAAGTAAAAAAAAAGAAGTTGAGAAAAGCTAAAAGAAAAGGGACATCTAAATAATGGATCTATTTAGCATTTTAATTAAAACTGCCTTTCATCTCCATCAGTGTGAATGCATGGAATAAGGAAAGAGAATATAAAAAATTTGCATATCAATTAGCCTAAAAACCTTAGTTTATATATTAATCTAGATTGAAACTAACCTAATGGCTACTAAAATTCCATTATGCTGCCCAAAAAAAATCCAAGACACTTAGGGTAAAAAAAAGAGGAAATTTTGTTGAAACAAAAGTTTGATTTGATATAATTATTTTTAAAACAAATATATTTTCTAAGTTGAGCTGGAGCATATCAGGTATATTCTCTCTTTAGGGCCCTAGCCGGAGAGAGGTGCGGATGGAATCGATAGCGCCAGTTGGGGATGATGGGCATGCAGCGACAGACCCTGATGGTAGGTGGATAGATCTCCCTCCCATCGCCAGGAGGAAGCGGAAAGTGTGGATACGGGAATGCTATGAGGATCTCTATGCCGACATGAGAGAGCTCGCAAGCCTGGGCAAGAGCTACATCCACATATCAGGAAACCCTGGAATTGGCAAGTCGTGCTTTCTGTGGTACGTCCTGAAACGGCTCCTCAGTGAAGAAGGGATACCGGCCGTGATAGTTCAGCTCGTCGAAAAAAAGAAGAAGAGGGTTTACATCTTCAAACCGGATGGGAGTTACGCGCCCGGTTCTAAAGAGGATTACGAAATCCCGGGGGCTTGGCTTCTCACGGATCAGGAGTTTGTTGGGAACTTCGCTAGACATACTGTGCTCTTTGCATCACCGGAGGAGAGCAATTGGGTGGACGCGCTCAAACTCATCAATGAGATAGACTTCTTTGCGCTTTACATGCCTCCTTGGTCTGTCGAGGAGTTGCAGCAGGTTTACTTCTCGGCGCCCGAGAACGCAGATAAGTCGCACGTCGACTTCTGGGCGACTTACTACATAGCCGGGCCAATCGTGAGGTACTACTTCATGCCTTTGGAACTTGTATACAACATGATAGGCATGGCTGTGAACCATGCTGTGAAAGTGGGAGAGCTCAACATTTACCGTGCATTATTTTTGCCAGAGACCTCTGTTTCCTGGCCAAGTCTGGACTTTACCTGTGTGGATCATATCTCCTTCACTTCGGAGTGGGTTGTAGATTGTTTCGCCATTGCATGCTACAAGGGACAGATCAAGGACTGGATGGAGTGCACTCGGGCACTGCCTTCACTGCAGAGTGCAGCTTGGGTCTTGTTCGAACGCTATGCTCACCACCGACTCTCGCAGGGTGGTCACTTCTGTAGCATCAATGATGATGCCATTGGCCTGCATTTGGAGAAGCGTGACGTGAAGTTCTTCTCAGGCAACAGTCTCAACCTGCAAGTACCTGGCCTCCACTATCTACAGCCTAGCAGCATGTCATTCCCTCCGATAGACTCGGTGTATCCCCCATTTGTCCTTTTCCATATCTCGACTGCACTGAAGCAGAGAGCAATGAACAAAAGCGACTACGACGCCTTGTGCTCTTTGCTGATGGCGTTCAGAAGGGAGCATCCTGACGTTCCGTCGGGCCTGCAAGGCACGAAGGAGGAAGATCAAGTGTATGCCGTTTTAGTGAAGATGGAGGGTGGCAAGTCTTTGGATTCAGAACCCTTGTGTGTGGTGGAAGATGTTCCAGATGATCAGCCGCTGCAGCAGCAGTCGAAGAAGCGAGCGAGAAGTCCAGAGTGGATCAAGAAAGAGGAGACGCCTGAGCGGAAGAAAAAGAGGACATACCTGCCTTTCCAGATGACGATTGCTCTCAAGATGCAGGATCACGTTAACGGCTCGATCAGCTGCTCGACCATCGAGGAGGTCTTCGACATTGTCCGTTCGAGGATGGACGGTACAGTTGATACTGGAGGACTCAAGTTTGGGGACATGAGCAGAAAATCGGGGGAGGCGAAGTTCCCAACAGTGTTGATGCGAGGAGGTACGTGCAAGTTCTTATATGGGTATTTTGTTTGGTCTCTTCCTGCATCTCATTACAATCCAACAGGAAAGGGAAGTGTACAATGCAAGGAGATGGAAGACGGCGTGACTGTGTTTGGCGTATCGATCGAAGCCGTTCGGACCACAGTACACACTGAATTGAAGGAGGAAACTGCTTTGAGTATCAAGTGCACGGCTGGTAAGCTAGCTGGGAAAGAGTTGACAATTTTTGTGAACGAGGTAGGCATCAGTTATCTAGTATTTGTGTCAATGTTGTATTTTTTGTTTTTTATTCCAGCGTCTTCGAACACATGTGATGTCTTCTCTGCCTGCTATCCTCAACATGGACACACAGAGGCTCGGAGTCTTGACTGTTCCTGGTGTTGTCTACCAGTTTTCATGGTCAGGTGACATAGCAGATGTTCTCATCAGATCGAAGCTGAGAACCTCGACGTTAATTAAATTCGTGTTCCCATCGGATGAGGGGTAGCGGGATAAGAAGACTAGTTATGTATAAAGCTGACAAGTGTGTTTGGAATGTACTTGACTTCGTCTAAATTCAAATGGTTCAGTACAGCTGGACATGCCACGTGGAAATCGATTTGTGGGCAAGCTGGGCCCGGGACGAGCAGATTCGTGGGAGTAGTGGCGCTCCATATCGAAGGAGCCGAAAGTGGGTGAGACGAGCCGGTCATCGCAGGGACTGTAGGGAAAGGAAGCAGCCTTTATCACGTCCTTGATCTGGAACCGCAAAATCCGAGATATTGAAGCCATTTATCATTAAGATCCCTCCGTGACCATCGACTTGCAGGCTGTGCAGTCTACCTCCACAATCATCAAGATTGTGTGCTGGACTCTGGAGGAACATGCACATTCAGCCAAGAGCGTGGATAGTCCGCATGCCTTCGTGGGAGATTGCCGATGATTTACCACAGAGGTGGCGATTGTGAGCTGGAAGAACTGGACGAGCTCGCTCCAGCTCCTCCTCCTCTGGAAGAAGCAAGCACGATGGCCAACTTGAGGTAGAGAGCTGCGGCACACTCTCTAGAGACACTCTCGCTTAAGTGTTTTCCAACTTCTCAACTTTCGTTTAGGTGCATCATTTGAGCGCTCTGAGAAATTAGAAAAGAGGCTGTAAACAAATAAAATAATCTCATCACTTTGCTATGTTTGTCATCACGAGACGTTTAGTGCAGTCAAGGGCTAAGGTCTCAGGACATGGAGTTTGTATCAAGTCATCTCCTAGTTTAGACTGCAAACCAAAACAAAAGAAAGGAAGAGAAAATAATGTACCATTGCCATATATATACAATTGTCAGAGTTGTGGCATAGCACTCTTTGTGAGGTCCAAGTGTACAATTATGATGTTATATATTAATATTTGGGATTTTAATAGCCGTCGGGTTAGTTTCAATTTTGATTAATACATAAACTAAGGTTTCTTGGCTAATTGATATACAGATTTTTTATATTCTCTTTCCTTATTCCACGCATTCGCACTGATGGAGATGAAAGGCAATTTTAATTAGAATGTTGGGTAGATCCATTGTTTAGATTTCCCTTTTCTTTTAGCTTTTCTCAACTTTTTTTCTTTTATTTATTTATTTTCATTCATCTACGTGGTAGAGTAACAACCTCCTTCTCTTTTGATTGGAGCAGTAGTTGGTGAAATTAATTGATGGTATATAGTTGCAACTAAACAATCAAACTTAATTGATGGCAATATTCACAGCACGTGGTACAGCTCCTCCTGCTGCTAGGATTTGTGCATGCACTTGCTCTAGCCATCTTTAACAATGCCCTTCGTTTGACATAACGTTATAAAACATTGCCTCTTCCACTTATCACTACACATCCTTCAACTCTACTTCCTTGATTTATATGGCCCTTGATATTGGCCCTAAACCCTAAACCCTACCAGCCAGAGTTATTCAGTGGGAATTTTGGGAATGATGTGTATTATTAGTTTGATCACTTCACGATAATTGGCACATATCATTTTTGGGATAATGCTCAATGTTTGCATAAGTTTCCCACGTATCTCCAAGAGATGGTGTTACAGTGGTATAATGGTATGAGCGTAGTTATTTGTGAGGGTTGGAATATTTTCCTGGACGTATTTAAACGTGCATTTAAATATGCTAACAATTGTGATGATGTCTTCTAAAAATTACATCATATTCGTCAAGGGCCATATGAGTCGGTAATGCAATTTGGCATTTGAGGAAGTGGAACTAAAGGATGTGTAGTGAGAAGTGGAAGAGGCAATGTTTCATAACATTATGTCAAGTGAAGGGCATTGTCAAGGATGGCTAGAGCAAGTGCATGTACAAATCCTACAAAATCTTGACAAAATGTTAGCCACAACATTTATAGCTTGATTCACTTTGACATATTTAGCTCTACACGAAGCAAGAGTCCATTTCCTATGAAAAATGGTTCTGTTCCAATGGAGGTTGATGTTACTGTTGCTTAAGTTCAAAGACAAGGGCGAGGATGTGGTTATGGTCGTGATGTCTATTGTTGGTAGTCTGATAAAGTTAATCATATTTATCGGTGTTATTGGTATTTTCTGGATTGGCGACTTATATTTCCTAAGTATCAACAATGTCTTGTTCATGTTGTTGTAGTGGAAGGTCTGAACACCGAGATGCATCCAGGAAACAAGGAACCACACAAGAAGTAGTAGACCTTGCGTAAATACCATCCGCACACCATGCTCTAGCTAGGGCCCTGAAGAGAGAATATACTTATGTGATTCTCTCTATATAGATATATATATATATACTTCAGCTCCAACTTAGAAAATATATTTTTTTTCAAAAACATTTATATCAAATAAAACTTTTATTTCAACAAAATTTCCTTTTCTTTCTTACCCTAAGCATCTTGGACTTTCTTTTAGGCACGAGTGATATTAAAATAAATAGTTTTTATTTATTCAGATTATTCTTATTTCTTGTTTTTAATTACACACAAAATTATTATGCATACAATCATGTTTTAATTGCACAGCACATCTCACATGAATAGACACTTTATGTAACATGTGCAACTATATCATCTTTTTTTTTTACTAATTTATGATCCATATTATTACCAAAGTGCAATTACACTTTTTTTATTGTACACAAAAGGTATCACTTTTGAAAGTATCACCTCGATATCTACTATTACATGATCCACTGTTCCCAAAATTTATAATGTAATGAAATTAAACCCAAAAAAAAAGAGATGCAAGAACAATATAAATAAATAGGTAGTTGATTTCTTAGAATACACCAGTCTTTTGGTGTTCCAGCTTTTGTTATAAAGCAATCAATCATATCCCACTCTTCTTTCCCTTAAAATCCACACAAAAATTTCAGGGCTTCATATGTTAAATAATAAGCTTTAATAATGTGCTAGAAAAATCAATATAGAGGAAGAAAGCATGAACATAATACATACTTGTATTATGTTATTTTTTCCACAATGTCCCTATCTCAACTATCCATCAATATACCCTTACACTATATAAGGATAATAACTCGTTTAAGATAATAACTTAAAATGAAAACATGTGTGTGAGGCACAAAATTGTCATTGATTGGAGGAAGAACTTGTGACAGTTGTCCCTTGGGATGCCTGAGCCAAGCTTTTATATCATGGTCAATTTTTAGTGATTTGGTGCATTTTTTGGCAGGGCATGAAGGGCTGAATTATCCATGGGAAACTGTGCTCATAGGATCTTCTAAAGGGAGTGTTGAGATAAATAGTCTCTAGGCATTTGTTATAAATCTACCTAACATTTCTTTTATATATAGGGGAGGTTTTTTTTCATTTTGTTCAATATAGCCATTGATCAAGGTTTAGCCCAAGCATTTTTTATATATATAGAGTGGTGTTTTTTTTCATCCTATTCAATATAGCCATTTATCAAGGTTCCTATTATTTTAGCTTTTATTTTAACATCTTTTCATTATTTTTTCAAAAAGCAAGGATATGTACCCAAGAAAAGAAACTATAGTGAATGAAGTAATATTCTTTAGTAGAGTTGCCAAATAGGAGGCAACATACTTAACTAAACTTTGTGATTTATCCTCCAAGGGAAAAGGGGCAATATAAAAATATCTCTCATACCATTAAAATATTTTTATAGTAAAATATTTTAGAGAATCTCTTTGGGGCTACAAATTGATACATTAGGCAAACTGTAAAGATACTTGGAATCAAAATTGGGGAGGAGCCTCCTAGAAATCAAGGCAAATTTCTTCAAGGTATTTTTCTTTTTTCTTTTTCTTAGTCTTTTGGATCTTAATCAAATTTGCAGGTTGAATATACCATTCCCAAGGATGATGGCACATTGCAATTGTTTGTGGGTTTTAAAGTCTAGCGTGACAACTAGAGGGCCTTATGACTATAATCCCCATATGAGTTAGAGTGGCTCACTTGAGTTTTTACGCAAAACATTGTTGATGTTTGTATATTCCAGCACCTGACATGTGCTCAGGTTTTATTCACATTTTTTTTCTTCCTTTTTTATGGATTTTCATATATTTATTTCTTCACAAACCATGGCTTGGATTCTAGATGAATACTCTAAGTTTCAAGGGTACTCTCCAACAATGGTCACTGGATAGCAACTTGTAAGCTTGTATTTTTATGATTATGTGATTTTTTCTCTTATATTGGTTTTGCTTCTCAGGACCTCAGTGGCTCTGTAGGACGTGAGGCTGGCACTGAAAGAGGAGTTGTATACGTGACTGAAGCATTACTTGCTAACCATGGCAAATCTCTCTTGAACCAAACTTCTTTTGTGATCCAGGTAGAACAATTTATAGCTTCCATTGTTTCTCTTGGGCTGTTATTTCTCTGACTGAGAGGTCTTGCAAGGATTTGGCAACATTGATCACCATACTGCCTAATTCCTCTTTAAGGCCAAAGGAAGAGTCAAGATGGTAAGTGATATAACCGAAGCAATTGATGGTTTTTGTGACCAGAGTTTTGCAAAGAAGGGCATCAGGACATCCTTGCAAGCTCAGGTGGTGTCACAGGCGTCTTTTTGTACACAAGTATTGGTTTGAGCATTTGCTATTTCTCTTTCATATAAAACAATCAAGGCTTTACGTGGGATGCGTTACTGGAACTTGCAGAATCTGTCACGGAAGATTGGGAGGCTTTCAAATACACATATAAGCAGGATTCCAAAGAGCAAAATCTGGCTCTACAAAACATACAAGATAAAAAAGAAAAGGAACCATGTCATGCCAACCAAAAAGGTCTGGATAAAGTTGAATTTGATGGCATCACGCTGAATCTCTCAACAAGGTTTACAAAAGTTTGATTTGATATAATTATTTTTAAAACAAATATATTTTCTAAGTTGAGCTGGAGTATATCAGGTATATTCTCTCTTTACGGCCCTAGCGGGAGAGCGGTGCGGATGGAATTGATAGCGCCAGTTGGGGATGATGGGCGTGCAGCGACAGACCCTGATGGTAGGTGGATAGATCTCCCTCCCATCGCCAGGAGGAGGCGGAAAGTGTGGATACGGGAATGCTATGAGGATCTCTATGCCGACATGAGAGAGCTCGCAAGCCTGGGCAAGAGCTACATCCACATATCAGGAAACCCTGGAATCGGCAAGTCGTGCTTTCTGTGGTACGTCCTGAAACGGCTCCTCAGTGAAGAAGGGATACCGGCCGTGATAGTTCAGCTCGTCGAAAAAAAGAAGAAGAGGGTTTACATCTTCAAACCGGATGGGAGTTACGCGCCCAGTTCTAAAGAGGATTACGAAATCCCGGGGGCTTGGCTTCTCACGGATCAGGAGTTTGTTGGGAACTTCGCTAGACATACTGTGCTCTTTGCATCACCGGAGGAGAGGAATTGGGTGGACGCGCTCAAACTCATCAATGCGAGAGGCTTCTTTGCGCTCTACATGCCTCCTTGGTCTGTCGAGGAGTTGCAGCAGGTTTACTTCTCGGCGCCCGAGAACGCAGATAAGTCGCACATCGACTTCTGGGCGACGTACTACATAGCCGGGCCAATCGTGAGGTACTACTTCATGCCTTTGGAACTTGTATACAACATGATAGGCATGGCTGTGAACCATGCTGTGAAAGTGGGAGAGCTCAACATTTACCGTGCATTATTTTTGCCAGAGACCTCTGTTTCCTGGCCAAGTCTGGACTTTACCTGTGTGGATCATATCTCCTTCACTTCGGAGTGGGTCGTAGATTGTTTCGCCATTGCATGCTACAAGGGACAGATCGAGGACTGGATGGAGTGCACTCGGGCACTGCCTTCACTGCAGAGTGCAGCTTGGGTCTTGTTCGAACGCTATGCTCACCACCGACTCTCGCAGGGTGGTCACTTCTGTAGCATTGATGATGATGCCATTGGCCTGCATTTGGAGAAGCGTGACGTGAAGTTCTTCTCAGGCAACAGTCTCAACCTGCAAGTATCTGGCCTCCACTATCTACAGCCTAGCAGCATGTCGTTCCCTCCGATAGACTCGCTGTACCCCCCACTCGTCCTTTTCCATATCTCGACTGCACTGAAGCAGAGAGCAATGAACAAAAGCGACTACGACGCCTTGTGCTCTTCGCTGATGGCGTTCAGAAGGGAGCATCCTGACGTCCCGTCGGGCCTGCAAGGTGTGAAGGAGGAAGACCAAGTGTACGCCGTTTTAGTGAAGATGGAGGGTGGCAAGTCTTTGGATTCAGAACCCTTGTGTGTGGTGGAAGACGTTCCAGATGATCAGCCGCTGCAGCAGCAGTCGAAGAAGCGAGCGAGAAGTCCAGAGTGGATCAAGAAAGAGGAGACGCCTGAGCGGAAGAAAAAGAGGACGTACCTGCCTTTCCAGATGACGATTGCTCTCAAGATGCAGGATCACGTTAACGGCTCGATCAGCTGCTCGACCATCGAGGAGATCTTTGACATTGTCCGTTCGAGGATGGATGGTACATTTGATACTGGAGGACTCAAGTTTGGGGACATGAGCAGAAAATCGGGGGAGGCGAAGTTCCCAACAGTGTTGATGCGAGGAGGTACGTGCAAGTTCTTATATGGGTATTTTGTTTGGTCTCTTCCTGCATCTCATTACAATCCAACAGGAAAGGGAAGCGTACAATGCAAGGAGATGGAAGACGGCGTGACTGTGTTTGGCGTATCGATCGAAGCCGTTCGGACCACAGTACACACTGAATTGAAGGAGGAAACTGCTTTGAGTATCAAGTGCACGGCTGGTAAGCTAGCTGGGAAAGAGTTGACAATTTTTGTGAACGAGGTAGGCATCAGTTATCTAGTATTTGTGTCAATGTTGTATTTTTTGTTTTTTATTCCAGCGTCTTCGAACACATGTGATGTCTTCTCTGCCTGCTATCCTCAACATGGACACACAGAGGCTCGGAGTCTTGACTGTTCCTGGTATTGTCTTCCAGTTTTCATGGTCGGGTGACACAGCAGATGTTCTCATCAGATCGAAACTGAGAACCTCGACGTTAATTAAATTCGTGTTCCCAATAGGGAGAAGTTAATTATTTGGTGAAAAATCAGTGAATGTTTGCTTAAAAAATGCCATGAAGGTTTTCTTTGACAAGTTTTCCTTTATTTTTAATAAAACAAATTATTAAATCTGTATCAACATACTGCAAATGTAGGAAGGAAATCAATGGCTATGTTGCTTATCAAAATCCTTGTTATAGGAAACGCATGCATTGATCATTCATCAAGTAGAATATTTTGAGCTTCTCTTGCAATCCAGACATCATCTATGACTGGAGTTGACTTGACGTTGACTTCACAGGAGCTTTACCCTTAAATGCCTTGACTTAGGGCAGCTACCGTTTAGTCCTAATTAATTATTTGGCTAATCTGTCTAGGAGTTTAAACCCAAAACCCTCACGCCCAGATGCCCTAACCCTTTGCGAGGTGGAAGGCGTGGAGGCGTGGAGGCGCAGCGAGGATGAACAATTTCCGCAATGTGAAGATGCCGTCAGGCGCTGGCCCCGCGGGAGCGCTGGCCAAGGTACTCACTGTCGCCGGTGTGGGGATCTACGCCCTCGCCAACAGCTTGTACAATGTGGACGCCGGGCATCGCGCCATCGTCTTCAATCGCCTCGTCGGGGTCAAGGACAAGGTAGGCGAGCTTGCCGCAAGCATCGCATTGCTCTCTCTTTTATTTCGGGGATCGCCCTTTTTGTAGAGTTCGATTGATCTTTTGCCTTCCAGGTCTATCCCGAAGGAACGCATTTGATGGTGCCGTGGTTTGACAGGCCAGTGATCTACGATGTCCGTGCTAGACCCAACTTGGTCGAGAGTACTTCCGGCAGCAAGGATCTCCAGATGGTAAGATCAGTTCGTTTTAGTGTGTTCTACGAGAACTTTTCTAGTTCTTGTTCATTCCGTGAGGCTGGAACTGATTTTGTGTTCTTGCTCTCAGGTCAGAATCTCGCTTCGTGTTCTAACACGGCCGATCGCGGACCGTCTCCCGTCGATCTATCGCACCCTGGGACAGGACTACGCGGAGAGGGTCTTGCCTTCGATCATTCACGAGACGCTTAAGTCGGTGGTTGCGCAGTACAACGCAAGTCAGCTCATCACTCAGCGAGAGGTGAGCAAGAGCGTTTCTGCGAGTTTGTACTCACAGGGTTTTGTAGGTGGTGAGCAGGGAGATCAGACGAATCCTGACCGAGCGCGCCTCGCAATTCGACATCGCTCTGGACGACGTTTCCATCACGGGTCTTACGTTTGGAAAGGAGTTCACGGCTGCCATTGAGGCGAAGCAAGTCGCGGCACAGGAAGCCGAGCGTGCCAAGTTCATCGTCGAGAAAGCCGAGCAGGACAAGCGCAGCGCCATCATCCGAGCTCAGGCATGTCCTTGTTTTCGTTCTTTGTTCTTCTTGCCCGTTCTCTTTCTTTGTTTTTCATCGTTCTTTGTTCCTTCTTTGCTCTCTTTGTTCTTCTTCCTCGTTCTTTCTTTTCTTCTTGGTTTCGTGGATGGTGCTGCAAAGATTTTTTTTGTTAATTTTTATCGCTTCGACAATGAGCTTGTTTAACAATGAGCTTGTTTACTCCCTTTTCTCCGTGAGTCTTTCGTAAAGATTTGCCTTTTCCATGTTCTACTTCTTTTCATGGCTTTGTTGTTGCAAACTTGACAGGGAGAAGCAAAGAGCGCGCAGCTGATTGGAGAAGCCATCTCCAACAATCCCGCGTTTGTGACACTGCGACGCATCGAAGCCAGCCGGGAGATTGCTCACACCGTCGCAAACTCGGCAAACAAGCTCTTCCTCGACTCGGACTCGCTGCTGCTCAATCTCCACAGCGTAGACGTCGAAGCCGACGCCATGGCAACGCGCAAAGGAAAGAAGTAATGCGGTAACTTATAGCTTTTCTTTCGTTTTCTCCATCGCTCTTGGCTAAACTTCCTTCTCCTTTCTCTCCAAAACTTTCAGGGAAGTTTTTGGAGATTAAGATCACTCTTCGTCGTCGTCTCGTGCTCAGCATAAAACAATGGACCGAAGTTTTGGCGATTTTTTTCCTCTTTCTTTTTACAAAGATCTTGCATTTCCGTTACCTTCTATTTCGATGAGTTAAAAGTGGACGAATTCTCGACCGTGCGATTTGCGTTGTGCCACGTGGCGGCATCCCAGGCCCATTGTTTTTAACCCCGCCATTAAAAAATTGCCCCCTTGGTCAAAGAAGTATGTTTACGTACGAGGACAACTCATTTTTTACAATGCTCTGCGTGAATCCCCCTTGTTTTTGTGAAGCGTGAGAGAGAAATTTTCACCGCTCGCATTTTGGAGGAGGGGGCGCGAGCTAAGCTGCGCTGCGGCGGCGCGAGGAATTTGCATCCAAGCTAGCGCCTTGTTCTTCGCCGCCGGTATGAGCTCCATGGCCTCGCGATTCCATCTCTTCTAGGTTATCCCCCAAGAATTTGGCCGCCGCCGGATCTCTCGCGGAGTCAGCGCTGGTTGTGGCGGCATCGATCTCTGATCGCTGGGAAATCAGGGTTTCGCGCGGGCAGTGTGAACAGGGCGGTCCCCTCAGGAACACGGCATTTCGGCCGCTGGCAGCTCCACTGGCACAGCAGGGATAAGAAATTCAAGGCGCGTGTCAGCGCAGGGAAGAAATTTCTGGCAAATGGTGCTCGAGATCGCGGCTGCTGCGCTCGCTGGGTGAGATTATAGGTCGGGAGATGAAGCTAGATGGGGAGGAGAGTGGAGCTGGTCCAGCGGATGGGGGTGGAGGCGTTATGCTGCGCAAGCCAACGCCTTCTCGGGGTCGGCTCTCGCTTGATTCGTTTGGAAAGAGCAGCGATTCCAGCCCAAGTCCCATGAGCTTGATGGCAAACTTTCTAGCCGACCACGACGCCGACAACTCGGCTTCTTACTCGAGCTTGCTAGCGGGAGCTATGACGGCGGACGAGAAGCAAACAGATGGTTTGAATGGGATCTCTTCGAGGCTGCTGGCTTCTTCCACGGCTGGTAGCTTTGCCGAGAGGCTAGCGGCTAGAACTTCGACGACAACTGCGACTACTACGGCGGAAAGTTGCAAGAGCGGTGGCTTGCCAGCGTCAGGACCAATCAGGCCGTCTACTGCACGCTTCAAGTCGATGCCTCCATCGCGCCTACCGATTCCAAGAGCTCCTTGCGTGACAATTCCTCCGGGGCTCAGCCCAACCACCTTACTGGATTCGCCAGTTCTTCTTTCAACATCTCATGTGAGTTTTCTCGCTCGCTCTTTCTCGCTCACTCGTTTTTTGCTCGCTCTTGGTTGGAAAGTTGTATTCATGGCTGGTTTTTTCGTGATTGCAGCAGCCGGAACCATCGCCAACTACAGGTACTTTCCCGTTGCCTCCTTTGCTTAGTGGGAACGGAATCAAGCCCGGCGAAAACTCCAAGGTGAAAGAACAGGATGGGGGCGGCTCGGGCTTTGTCTTTAAGCCTTTCCCAAAGACAGGAACTCGCAACTCGTTGTCGCCTCTGGGAAATTTTGGAAATGCGGTACGTGTTCATTTTTATTCACTGGTACTTGGTACTTCTCTTCGCTAACGTTGGTTATGTCGTGCTCAGGCTCCATTTAGCTTTTCACAACAGAGTTTTGCCGAGACACAATCGCAGCTACAGCAGAAACCGCAAGGACACGCGCCTGTACAGTCGGATCCTTTGCCACCTACATCCTTGCAACTGTCGGCAAATATCCAAGCAGAGAAGCAGCAGGAGCCGCAAAAACAATCTCCCACACAACCGGACCAAAACCGGACGACTTCAGCTTCGCCCCCTCCTCCTCCTGCGGAAAGATCCTCGGACGACGGATACAATTGGCGTAAATACGGGCAGAAGCTGGTGAAAGGCAGTGAGAATCCTCGGAGCTACTACAAGTGCACGTACGTGAATTGCCCGATGAAGAAGAAAGTCGAGCGCTCTCCCGACGGGCAAGTTACCGAGATAGTCTACGAAGGCGAACACAACCATCCCAAGCCGCAGCCAACTCGCAGAATGGCGATGAGTGCGGCAAACCTCATGTCCAAGTCTTTGAGCGTAAGAAACGGGAGCACGGACAAGACCGAAGTAGGCCGCAATCAGTCGAATGGTGGAGCCAGCGAGCACTCATCATCGTCTGGGAGTGATGACGAGGATGAGCCCGATGGAAAACGCAGGTAAGACGCAGCTCAAGTTCTCAATGCCGTGTACGCAAGTAACTCCTTTTTCTCTTTTGTTTCTTATCCCCAGGAAAAAAGAAAAGCTGTCCAGGGAGAGTCCTCCCATTCCGAAGAATGTCCGCGAGCCTCGAGTGGTCGTGCAGACGACCAGCGAAGTTGATATTCTGGACGACGGTTATCGCTGGCGCAAGTATGGACAAAAGGTCGTCAAAGGCAATCCACACCCCCGGTAAGAACAGTGTTCTTGTAGTTTTCGTGTGTCTTAATGCGTGCATTTATGGTTCTCCTCCAGGAGCTACTACAAGTGTACCAATCTCGGATGTCCGGTGCGAAAGCACGTCGAGAGGGCCTGTGATGATCCCAGAGCAGTGATAACTACGTACGAAGGCAAGCACAATCACGATGTTCCTGCCGCGAGGAACAGCAATGCTCATGATAGGAATGGCGGCGGTGGCAGCGGCGGCGGCGGCGGTGGTGGTGCTGGTGCTGGTGCTGGCGGAATGGAGATGGTTCCCATGCTTGGAGCTCCGCCAGGGAGCTCGGTTCCAAGCCAGAGTGGTGGATCCGACTCGGCTCTCAGCCTTCCAGCGACGTCGGCGGTCACGTCCCCGGAGGTTACTGCCGCGGCGGAGGGGGATTCGTTTGGAAGAACTCTCGAGGGTGTGAAGCCTGAGCGGCAAGAGTTCTTGACGGGATCGCCAGTGATTATACCGGTGGTGAGGCCGAAAGAGGAACTCCAGCACGATGCTACTGGCAAGTTAATGCTGAGGCCGTGACGAACACGAGGAGGAAGAAGTGAATGAAGCCATGGAAGTGTAAGAAACCATGGTAAAGAAGAAGAAGATGGAGAAGTTCAAGATCAAATCCACCATGGTAGAAGAAGGCTCTACCATAAAGAAAGAAAGGAAAATGTTACGAAAGGAGAAAGATAGGCCTTGTACATTAAATCTTCAAGAGCTTGGTTTTACTTTACGCGGATTTAGGGTTCTTCGTTTCTTCGTCCACGGAGTTATGGCGGCTCCCGCGGCCAAGAAGCTCAATCTCATCACGAAGATGGCGCTCCAGACGGCCGGTAATGCCAAGGTTTGCTGGTATCCGGGGCATATGGTCAAGGCGATGCGCGATATCCAGCAGCGCTTCAAGTATGTGGATCTGGTGCTGGAAATTCGCGATGCTAGGGTATGGGAGTGAGAATGTGGGAGGATTTGCTTTAGTTTCTTGGTTTTCTTGTGGCAGATTCCGCTTTCCTCCGCGAACGATGAGCTTGGAGAGTTTATTTCGAAGAAGAAGCATGTCATTGTGATGAACAAGATGGATTTGGCGTCTTCGAATATGATCCATGTAAGTGTTGTGTGTGTGCGTGTGTGTGTGTGTGCCATCGTGTTTGCATGTTCTTAGGTGGATTTGTTTTGGCAGAATTGGAAGAAATACTTTGAAGCTCAAGGCCAGGTTCCCATCTATGTAAACGCTCACTCGAAACACTCGGTCCACAGTGTAAGAGCTCTTTTCGTGTTTTTCTTTCGTGGGAATTTTCTGTGTTGGTTCTTATGGCTCGGACACTACAGATGGTTGTTGATATCAAGGAGCGTTTAGCTGGTGCTATCCAAAAGGAGGCCACGCTTCTTGTGATGATAGCCGGCATTCCAAATGTTGGAAAGTCTGTGCTCACGAATGCTTTATATCAGGCCACAGGTAGACCTTTTCTTCATTGTTTCTCTGGGTTTGTAACGAGCTTGTTTGTATCTTAGTGCAGGGCAGGCCTAAGAAGGCTCAAGTTGGCCCGCTTCCTGGTGTTACCAAGATCATTTCAGGATTCAAGGTACATAAGTTCTTTGGTCTTTTTTATAGGAGATCTTACTACTATCTTTGTTGATAGATAGGTCAGTGTCCCAGTATTTATTTGCTAGATACACCAGGAGTTTTGATTCCGAACATCAAGAGTGTGGAAACTGGATTGAAGCTGGCTATAACAGGTGCGTGTGAATTTCTCTCGTGGAAAAGATCACGGTCTTGTGCTTATCCAGGCGCTGTCAAGGACTCCGTTATCGGCGAAGATCGACTTGCCAGATACTTGCTGGCGCTGCTAAACATTCGAAGGCCAGTGTTTGCGAAGAAACTAAAGCCAAATGCCAGAGACTACGGCCACTGGGAAGTGGTAATGAAGCGAGCATTTGGTTTCGGACGGACTCTAATGCTTGTAATGATGCAGAAAGGATGCTCCCCGCAGGAACGAGCCGTCCGCGAGGCTATTACCTCCCTGATGATCAACTTCGACGGCGATCTGGAAGACGAGGACGCGATGACAGAGCTGATCGACAACCAGATGTACGAGCTGCGAAAGACCTTCAGAGTCCCGCAGTCGGACGGATACGAGGGGTACAACAAAGTTGCCAGAAGACTGCTACAGTTTTACAGGGGTGGCAAGCTGGGATCATACGTGTGGGACATACTTCCAGAGGGTGCTTAAGCGTGCGGGGGGTGAAGTGAAACAGACGTGGCCATTGCTCGGCCGCCTTCACATGGCGGGGGTGATATAGGTGCAATGCAAGCTGCCAAGAGAGGACGGGTGAAGGGCCGTTTTTGGGGATCAGGGACGAAGAGACTGAGCGCAGCAGAACTCTTAGACAACAACCGGGTCAAGTGGGCCTTGCAAACACGTCGGAGCACAACTTGTTTGACCTCCGCGGCTGCTGAATCGATCCATTACAAATCTCTGGCGTCAATGGGTAAATACGTTTTCACACAGAAAGGACGCTGTGTGGTCCAAGTCTCTCCTTTTTCTTTTTCCCCCCTTTGCTTTCCTATCTCTCTCTCTAACTTTTGCTACTTGTTTGTTAACCAGCAGGGAGCTTGGCGATTGTTACACGCAACAAAATGAAGCAGATCTACCTGTGAAGCTTTTGGAATGGCCTGCACAGAAGGGAATGAGGTGGATTTGGTACCTGAAG